TTCCAACCCGGGTGATTCTGTGAGTGCTGTGGGGCCGCTGTGGGGCACGGCTGCCTGCAGGCTGTGCTGCTCTCGGCTCTTGGTCCCCTCGCAGCGATGCCAGATGCTGGTGTGGCTCCAGAGAGGCCAGGCGTTTCCTGGCAGCTGCTCTTCCCCTCTGCGTGGCCTCATGGCTGCCGCAGGCCTTACTGAGGCCTGAAAGCTGTCAGCTGAGCGGGGAAAAGCTCCTGCATGGGAGGCAGCTCTGTGCTCCCCCGGGCTCTGACTTCACCTTTGTTTCTGCAGCATGAGCTGCCCTGGGGCTGCCTGCCCCCCTCCCTGCTGCGTTTTGACACCGACTGCTGTTGGATTCTCACTTTGCAGTGATTTCACTGCTGTCCTGCAGAACCCTCACGGTGTGTCCTCTGTGTCTCAGGAAATTGGGTGACGGGCTCTTCCTGCAGTGCTGTGAGGAAGTGGCAGAGCTCTACCCCAAGATCAAGTTTGACACCATGATAATTGACAACTGCTGCATGCAGGTGAGGATCTCGCTTCCTTACCCAGAGCCGTTCTGCACCTCCAGCTGCTGCTCTGCCTGTGGGGCCAAGGGATAAAAAGCTGACACCTGAGGAGCGCTGCTGCTGTCAGCTGCCAGGTCTGGGTGCTTCCCCGTGTCCTGGCCCGAGGTTTGCTGCTTGCAGGAGGGAGCGCAGACTGGGCGCCTTTCCCTGCTCTCCACCAGCGGAGGGCAGGAGCTGCAGGGCTGATGTCTGGGGCCTGCAGCTGATGCCTGGGATGGGCCCGCGGCATCTGATGTGTCTCAGCTGTGCTCCCCGCCGTTACTGACCGCATTTCAGGCTGTGCCTGTGGTTCTGCTGTTGCACGACTCGCAGCCCCTGCCTTTCTGTCGTCGGCTCTGAGCGCTGCGCGGGGCTCACATCTCCCCTGCCCTCCGTGCAGCTGGTGCAGAACCCCTACCAGTTCGACGTCCTGGTGATGCCAAACCTCTACGGGAACATCATCGACAACCTGGCGGCCGGTTTGGTGGGCGGTGCAGGCGTGGTGCCCGGGGAGAGCTACAGCGCCGAGTACGCCGTGTTCGAGATGGTGAGGAGGCGGCCGCGGTTCCCGGCGGCGCTGGGGCAGAGAGCGGCGCCGGGGCCGCTCCGTCACCCGCTTGTCCTCCCGCAGGGCGCCCGCCACCCCTTTGCCCAGGCCGTGGGCAGGAACATCGCCAACCCCACGGCCATGCTGCTGTCGGCCTCCAACATGCTGCGGCACCTCAAGTACGGGCCGGGGGCGGGGAGGGGGGCGGCGCTGCGTGCGGGGCCGGGAGCGGGGCTGGGAGCGGGGCCGGGAGCGGGGCTGGGAGCGGGACTGGCGCTGAGCCGCGGCCCCGTCCTCTCCGCAGCTTGGAATTCCACTCCAACTTGATCTCGGACGCGGTGAAGAAGGTGATCAAAGTCGGAAAAGTGAGTGTTGGCTGAGCCGTGCGCGTGCCGCGTCCTGTGCGGGAGAGCTGGTGGTGCAGCGCGGCGCCGCGTTGTCCCTTAGGGACGGCGCCAACCTCTTGCCTTCCTTTCTCCACCCGAGGGACCGAATCAAAACCCTGTGTGTGTAGCTGTCGTGTAGAGCTGTAGTGAGCTGTAGCCAGCTGCAGTCAGCCCCTCTGCTTGTCTGGGTCTGCTGCCTTGGGATGCTCTAGCAGGGCTGGGGGACATCAGGTGGCCTCTTCTTGCCCCCCTCTGGGCTCTGGCAGGGCGCACAGAGGGAAGCTGCTTTCCTCTCCTCTCCTGTCCTCTCCCTTCTCTCAGTGATTTTGCTCAGTTCACAATCACGTTTCTCCCTTGTTTCTCCCCTTCCCTGTGTTGGATTTTTAGGTACGGACGCGAGACTTGGGAGGTTACTGCACCACTTCTGACTTCGTCAAGTCTGTGATTGACAACCTGCACCCCCACTATGGTGCCTAGGAGCCCCACTCGCCCGAGGCGAGCCCTGGGACCTCACTGCGCCCTGCAGCGGCCTCCCCCACCGTAGTTTAAAGCCCCGCAGCCATTCCTTCCCCTTCCCTCGCCCTGGGCCTCGGGGGAGGAGGGGGCTCTCCTCTTCCCCAGCCCAGTGCCCACCCGGAGCCCCGGTGGCCGCATCTCCCTTCTCCCCACAGCCGAGCGGTGCCAGAGGAGGTGGCGGCCCCCAGGCACATCCCAGGCAGGCAGCTCTGCACAGCAGCGGGACCCGGGGTCCTGCCGCCGTCTTTCCGTGCCCCCAGAGGCTTTAGCAATAAATAGGACCCCAGGGCTGAGGCCCTGCGCTGGGGGTGTGCGAGGGCAGCTGTTGGCTTGGAGCGTCCCGTGAGGCGCAGTGCTGCTGCAGCAAAGGGAGATGTGAGCTTTGCTCACGAGCTGCCCAGGGTCGCCCCTGCGTCCTGTGCTTACGAGTGGCTGCTTGCTGAAGGCTGTCAGCTCAGCCCCCCTTCCCAGGGCAGCAGCCGCTCGCAGCTCCCTGCCGCTCCCCCTGTGCCCAGCCATAGCAAGGTGGGGGTGAGCCTGTGCTGAGCCCTGCTGCCCTTGCAGGGGGATGAGGCTGCAGGAGCTCTTGCTGGGACCAAGGGAGGCTCTGCCCCACAGCTGCGCGTGTGAGCGAGCGTCCGGGACCCGCGTTTAACTACCTGTGCTTCGTGTTTTGTATGCAAATAAATGGGTCCGGAGCTCCCCCCCACCTGCACCCGGCCCCGGTGCCGTTTCCCACAGCCCTGCTTGCTGCCTGCATCCCAAATCGCCCCACGGGGGGCAGGGCCGGCCCTGGGCCGCAGCTGGGACGCAACGCCCTCCTGCAAGGAGCGCGCGGGGCAGCAGCCCAACGCTCCTCTCTTCCTTCAGCCGCCTCTTGGCGCAGCTGCTGGAAGCAGAGGAAGCTGCAGCCCTGCGTTCCGCTGGGGCAGGGGGCCGCGGTTGGGGTTCTGCAAGGCGGAGGGAGCGGCGGGGCTGAGCTGTAAGAAGCACGGGCGGAGATCCGTAGGGACGGCGCGCACGGAGCGGCACTCGCCCGACCGCGGAGGGGCAGAGGAACGGCCGCAGCCCACGGCAGCTCAGCGCCTCTCCCTCCTCACTGACGCCGCCTTTTGTTGCAGGTGCGCACAGCAGACATGGGCGGATACGCCACGTGCCTGGATTTCACCCAAGCTGTCATTGGGGCCCTGGATGCGTAGGGCTGCTGCTCGGCCTCTCCGGCAGCCCTGCCGCTCCCGCTGCCTGCTCGGTAATTTATTGCTTCCCTGTAATAAAGCAGCCTCTGCAATGTAACGGTGCAGCGGGGGGGGCGGCCTCGCCATCTCATCTCCTTGCTCCATCCCCACCTGTGCGCCAGCGGCAGCCCCTGGTGGCTGCAGGGACGGAGCGCAGCACTGTGCCGTGTGCTCCAGCAGCCCCGTGCCGCTGGGGGGTGCAGTGCTGTTACCGGGCACCGCGCTGGGGGCTCCCACAGCCACCATTGGACTCCGTGAGGCCCAGCGGCGGCAGCAGCAGAACAGGAGCGCAGCTCAACACCAACCCGAGCCCTTTATTGAGGCTCAGTCACGCTGCACAGGCTCTCGCCCTCTGGCAGCCACGGCCGGCTCGCAGCTGCAGCCCTGCAGGGCTCTGCGAGGCACCAGGAGCCCCGGCTGAGCGCGGCCGTGGGGCGCAGAGCAGAGCTGCCCAACGCCTGCAGTGCTGGGCGATCGGACGGCGGGTCGAGGAGCTGCAGCCAAACCAAACCGGCCTCTGAGTCCGCAGTGCTGGAGCACGGCCCCGCGCCGGCTGCCCCTGCCCTAATCCTCCTCCAAGTCCTTGGCCTTTTTCTTCTTCTTCTTGTCCAGGGGGGCGCCCTCTGCCAGCAGTTTCCTTTTCTTCTTGGGCAAGGCCTCTTCCTCCAGCCCGTTCTCCTCTGGCTCTGTGGCAGCTTCCTGCTCCTGCTCCTTCTTCTTCTTCTTCTTTTTCTTTGGCTCTATGTTGTTTTCCTAAGAGAAAACACACAGTGAGGGCCCAGCCTATGGAGCACAGAGACAAACGCTGGCTCCTTGCATCCAACCCAGCAGTGTGCCCAGGTGGCCAGGAAGGGCAACGGCAGCCTGGCCTGCATCAGAAACAGCGCTGCCAGCAGAGCAGGGAGGTGATTGTGCCCCTGTACTCAGCACTGTGAGGCCGCACCTCGAGGGCTGTGTGCAGTTTTGGGCCCCTCACTGCAGTGAGGAAAGACATGGAGGGCCTGGAACGTGTTCAAAGAAGGGCAACAGAATGGTGAGGGGTCTGGAGCACAGGGCTGAGGAGAGGCTGCAGGAGCTGGGAACGTTCAGCATGGAGAAGAGGAGCTGAGGGCAGAGCTCACTGCTCTCTATGGCTGCTGAAGGGAGGCTGCAGGGAGCTGGGGGCGGCCTCTGCTCTGTGCCATCAGCGATGGGAGCAGAGGGAACGGCTTCAAGCTGCGGCAGGGGAGATTGAGGCTGGGCGTGAGGAAGAATCGCTGGTCAGCAAGGTGGGCAGCACTGCAATGGATGCCCAGGGAGGTGGGGGAGGCAGCGAGCCTGGGGGTGTCGAAGGCAAGGCTGGGTGGGAGCTGTTGGCAACAGGTGAACAGTTGGACTGGGGGAGCTTGGAGGTCTTTTCCAACCTTGGTGATTCTATGATTCTATAACCCCCCCCAGGCTGGGTTGGGGCCCAAACATCCCCCAGCCCTGCAGGGCAGTGGGGCAAGAGCGGCAGACGCTGCTGAACAGCCCACTGCACAGTGAGGCCACCACCAACCCAGCCCCCAGGGCACTCGGAGCCTCTGCCCTCACCTCTGCCTTCTGCACTGAGTTCTCCATCTCCTCCGCAGCTGCAGCCAGAGCCTCCAGGCGCCGTTTCTCCCGCTTCTTCCTCTTCTTCTCCTTCTTTTCCTGCTTCCTTTTGACCTCAGCCACCACCTCATTGGCCTGGGGGCAGCAGAGCAGCGCTCAGCGCAGGGCCGGACTCCCACCCCCCCCTCCTTCCAGCACAGCCGTCGGATCAGCCTCATTAAATCAGCTTTTTGCCTCCACAGCAGGTCAGGTGGGCGCTTCACATCACGTCCGACTCCATGCCCGCCCAGCAGCCCCACCTCCCCGCAGCCTCACCTCCACCACGGCCTCCTTCATGACCTCCAGGTTCTTGCGGGGCGGCTCTCCGGTCTCATAGAACGCCAGCCGTTCCTCCACCTGCTCCCTCAGCTTGTCCCCAAAGACGCTGGTGGGAACCTCTGTGGGGAGAGCTGGGCTCAGCCCCCCTCAGCCGCCCCAACCCGGCGCCCACCTCCCCCCATCCCAGCCTCCGCTCAGCCCGCAGAACTCAACATTCACTCCGTGAAATGCTGCTGACGAAAAATCTTCCCATCACAGCAGAGGCCGCTTCCCCCACCCCCATCCCACCCCCCATCCCACCCCGCATCCCACCCGCATCCCACCCCCCATCCCACCCCCATCCCACCCCCATCCCACCCCCCATCCCACCCCCATCCCGCCCCCATCCCAGCCCCACAGACCCGAGAAGCAGTCGATGCGGGAGGCGATGGTGCATTTGTTGGCCAGGTAGCGGGAGATGCGCCCTTTGTTCTTGGCGGCCGCGCGCCCGATGAAGGTGGAGTGGAAGATGAGGCCGTACTTGGGGGTGTTCCCTCGTGTCTTCAGAGCCCTGCCAGAAACCCAGCGCGCCATCGGGGGCAGCCCGGGGCCGAGGCGCCGCGACGGGAGCTGCCGCCCCTGCACCCCCAGGGCCGCTGCCCCGCTCCCCACCCTCTGACCTCACACAGCACGAGCTGCTGAGCCGCGGCGGTCGCTCAGGGGCTGGGGCCGGCAGCTCACACGCGGCCGAGGCCGGAGCAGCCCGGCGCATCGCAGCCGGCAGCCCAGGGAGCCGCCATCACCGCGACCACCCTGCGGCGGTACCTGAACAGGGCTTTCTCAGCCCCCAGGATCTGCACCGTCGAGGCCGGGTACTTGGCCAGGTTCGTCAGGCTGCCGGCGTGGGAGATGAGGCGGGCGCCCACCTGCGAGGGGACGCGGGGTTACGGCTGCCCTCGGAGCACCGGGGCCACGGGGGGGGGCTGCAAACAGCGCCCAGCCGGGATCAGCAATGAGGATTGTCAGCACAGCGGCTCAGTGGATTGACAGATTCGCTCAGACATCACTTCCACGGCCCGGGGGGGAGGGGAGGACGCACTCACTCACCACCTCCCCGATGAGGGCTGAGAGGCTGGGGGCCACCTGGCTCATCTTGGAGCGCAGGTACTCCTGCAGGCCCTTCCGGTACTCGGACAGAGAGATCACACGGCTGGAGAAGCTCTCGATGTTGATGAGGTCGATGGGGGAGATGTCCATCCCTGCGGAAAGCAGCGTCAGGGAGCCGAGCTCCGCCAGGAGCTCCACGGGCTGCGCAGAGCCCCACTCACCCATGGAGGAGCGGGACGCCTCCAGGATGGCCTGAGCCTTGGCGCCATCCATGACGATCTCCTCCAGCCCCTCCAGGCTCTCCTCGCTCAGCTCCTTGCGGTTGCCGATGAATTTGGCCAGCCGGCAGTAGGTGTAGTTCTCAGACACGATCTTGATCAGCTCGGGGAAGTGGTAGCCGTACCACTCGCTGCAGGACAGCATCAGCACAGGCGCTGCCCCCACGCCGACCCCCCGCACCGACCCCACAGCCCCCCGGCCACCCGTGTCCCCCCGGTCACAATCCGGCCGCAGCACCGCCGCCCCAGCCGGGGTGTTACCCGAGGCCGTGCTCTCCCTCCCCGTTCTTTGCAGGCGGTTGGAGACGCAGCCGCCCGCGGTAAGCGTGGGGAGGCCCCGCGCCGCCACCCTGCCCAGCCCGGCCCCCCGCTCACCGCACGCGCATGGAGAAGGTGTTGATGTCCTTGTCCAGCTGGTCCAGCAGACTGATGGACTGGATGATCATGTTGTCCACGCGGTTCACGTTGAACTTCACCTTGGCCCGGGAGTAGCTGTGGCCGAGGCCGAGCTGCGCCTTGGAGGCCGACTGCGCCGTGAGGCCCTTCACCAGGGCATGGAAGTGCAGGCGGATCCCTGCAGGGGGACAAACCGTCACCGGCCCCGTCCCCACCGCCATCCCCACCTCCACACGCAGCCCTGCAGCCCGCAGCTCGGCTCACCCCGCAGGATCTCGGCCACCACGCCGCCGGTCTGGCACTGATAGCCCAACTCCTCCAGGATGGCGGCCCCGATTTTGGCGTCTCCCACGCCCAGCAGCGCCTTCTTCTTCTTGGCCGGCATCGACGTCTCCAGCAGCAGCCGCAGATCCTCGTGCAGGATCCCTGCGGGACGCGGAGCGGCGCTCAGCGGGGCGGGCCGGAGCCGCACGGGGGAGCCGCGCGCCGCGCTCACCCTCGGAGACGGCGTTCATGTTCTCCAGGGCGCTCTGCGCGGATTTGAACGGGGAAAAGGCCACGAGCTTCACCACGTTGTGGAACTTGCCGACGGTGAGCACGCTCTCCTCCACCTGCGGCGGGACGCGGTCACGGCCAGGAGCGGCACGCGGGGCCGCCGCGCCCCCACCCTCAGCCCCATCCCGGCCCGGCCCGTACCTGCGGCAGCAGCAAACCGATCTCCTCCACCTCGCGGACGGCGAACAGCGCGTACCCGGCGGCATGTTCGAACAGCACGTGCAGCAGCACCTGAGCGAGCGCCGCCGTCAGCGCGGGCCCGGGACGCCCGCCAGGCCCCGATCCGCGCCCGCTGCGACGAGGGCGGCCCCGATCCGATCCGATCCGCGCCCGCGGCCCCCCGGCCCTCTCCCGCCCGCCTCCCCCGCCCGGCGTTGCGGCCCCGGCCCGATGCGGGCGGATTCGGCCCCGCGGGCCCCGCGCTCACCATCGCGCCGCCAGCGCCGCCCGGAACTGAGAGCGCCGCACCGGAAGCCCGCTTTGTCGGAAACCCGCCCCGCCCGCACGCAGCCAATCGGCGGCGGCATCGGCCCTCCCGCCAACCAATCAGCGCAGGCTTCCTCCAGAAGGTCGCCCGCAGCCAATCACCGAGAGGCAGACGCGGGTCCGCCCACCTTTACTCTCTCGGCCAATCAGAGACGCGCACTGCAGCTACCGCCCGCCTCTTCCCACTCCCAGCCAATGGGAACGGCCGCAGCGCTTTCCCCGCGTTCCGCTCGGTTCGCTGCACGCACGTGGGCTCCTGCCCCCCCCCTCCCGCCGTGCCGCACGTGGCCGCAGCCCCGGCACCTCCCGCCCCCCAGCAGCCCAACCCCCCGGCACCCCGACGGCGGTGCGGCCGAAAGAAGGCGTGGAGCCGCGTGGCTGCACGAGGCTTTATTGGGCGGGAGGGGGACGGGGGGGTTTCTCCGCCGGGGGGGACACGCGGTGCTCCGGGGGGGTCCTACACCACGAAGTGCCGCTGGAGTTGGAGCAGCAGCTCCGGGGTGAGCAGCACGCGCTGCTCCCGGCCGTGTCCCGGCGCGCACGGGATGGACACGCGGCCGAAACGCGTCAGGCCCTGCTCCTTCTCGCGCTGCGCCTGCGGGAGAGAGCGGCGGCGGTGGGGCCGGGGGGGTCCGAGCTCCAATGAACCCCACGAGGCCCCGCTCAACTCACCTTCAGGAAGGACGAGGAGGGGAACGCGCCGAAGCTGGTGGGGACGCCGGCGCCCGGCTGCTCCTGCACCATCTCCCGCATGGCCTCCTCCTGCGCAGAGCCGCCGCTTCCAGCACCGCCCACAGCCCCCGCTCCCCCCATCCCCCGCCCGGGCGCTGCCCGCACTCCTTACCCGCAGCGCCTCGATGCTGCCCTTCACGGCCCACAGCCGGGCCGTCTGCTCCAACAGCCGCGCGGCCGCGCTGCGTCCTGCGGAGGTGTGGGGTGAACGCGTGGCCGCGGCCCTCACCAAGCCCTGCACTCAGAGGGGAGGCTGGGGGCCGTGGGGCTCCTGGGGAGGCTGAGCTGCAGCAGCGAGCAGCGCCTCTCCGGCGCCGTGCCATCCCCGGCGCTACAACGCCCCCAGCACGGCGGGGCTGCGCGGCACCGTGAGCCGTCCCAGCGCCCGGCCGGCAGGGCTGAGGGGCGGGCAGGGGCTCCGCACGGTGCCGCTGCTCCCCCCGGCACGAGGATGGCACCGACGGCGTCCACAGCCCTCGGGCTCGGCCTCACCGCGGCCCCGCTGGGCTCACCTGACTTGGTCTGCTTGGTGTCCACCACCTTGGCGTTGGTGCTCATCTGGTACAGGGTCTCCAGCAGCTGCGTGCTCTTGCGGTACAGCGTGAGCGTGGCCGGGCCCCCCCCATGCTTGCTCTGCGGGAGGGACACCTTGGCCACCTGCAGGGGCTTCAGGCCGGCCAGCTCCAGCTTCATCTGTGCGCCCTGCGAGGGGACAGCAGTGGAACGGACGGCGGGGAGGGGGGGTGAGGAATAGGGGGGTGATTGGGGCAGGGGGTGATGGGAGCAGGTTGGGTGTTTGGGAGGAAAGGAACAGAGAAAATGAGCGTTAAAGGCAAGGAGAAGACGACAAAGCGGCGCTCAGAAACAGCTGCAGGCGGAGCTCCCGACGGTGGGGGACCCGTGGTGGCAGCGCTGCCTCACACTGTGGGGTAGGGGATGGAGGGGGGCGGCCCTGCAGTGCAGCTCAGTGCCTGCTGGGCTTGGGGCTCCCCCACAGCAGCAGCCATGGCTGCACCCTGTTGGGTGTAAGCAGTCGTCACAGCACCACAGCATCGTAGGGGTTGGAAGGGACCTCCAGGGATCATCGAGTCCAACCCCCTGCCAAAGCAGGTTCCCTACAGCAGGTCAAATCACAGCCCTGCAGCCACGCATCACCAGCTGCATGATTACACGTCTGTGAATTACTGCCAGCAAAACGTTATTTGCTTAACGAGGTTCTTCGCTGCTCTGTTTCCTCGTGCAGCTCCACTCAGCACCGAATGCCCCCAGTACTCAGCACCAATGCGCCCAGCACTGCCAGCTCCTGCCCCCCAGCTGGGGGTCGCTCTGCCAGCCCCGCGCCCTCGCGCTCACCTTGAGGCGGTTGTTCTCGTTCTTGAGGTGCCTGATGGAGAGCTGCAGCGCTTCGATTTGCTGCAGGAG